TTGTCATAAGTCAACAGTTGCAATGGTTCTTGACTCTGTATTGGTACACAATCTTCCATTTTAAAATTCTCATTCTCTTCTGTTGCATTGCTTCTTGTATTCCTAATATTATACAGAATAACATTCACAAGTCATAATCAATTTAAGCTAACATTATTAATTTATATAACTCATAGCAGCATTTACATAATATTATACATTAGTTATATAATTTATAACTCAAAGTTACATGTTATGCCCTTGGATGTGATTCAGTTCTATATTTCAAAAGTTATACAAGTCCTCACAACAGTTGCATATTAATATTCGTATGTTACATCTATTTTATTTGTAGTTACATGTTACACGCCAGCTGTTAAATAATTAATTCTGGGCTGTATAGTTGCAGTCATTGGATAAATACAATTGTAAAATTCAATTTTATAATGACCAATTTTGATAAGTTACATAATAGTATACACTTGTTTCATAAGTTATATCCCAAAGTTACATGTAACTAAGAATTGACATAAGTTACATATTAATATACTTATGTTACATAAATTCTATTTGTACTTACATAAGTTACACAAGTTGTTCAATAATCAAATAAGGCTCCAATACTTGCAGATAAATAGCAAGTGACAGAGTGTAATTAATGCTTACAGAACTGAACATGTAATTTGTCCTGTAGCAATGTTACATTTTATCATACAGAAGTTACATAATATTATACACTGGTTTCATAAGTTATATCCCAAAGTTACATGTAACTAAGAATTGACATAAGTTACATATTAATATACTTATGTTACATAAATTCTATCTCTACTTACATAAGTTACACAAGTTGTTCAATAATCAAATATGACTCCAATACTTGCAGATAAATAGCAAGTGACAGAGTGTAGATAATGCTTACAGAACTGAACATGTAATTTGTCCTCTAGCAATGTTACATTTTATCATACAAAAGTTACATAATAACTCAATGAAGTTACACCATACACAAGCACTTCGAAGAATGTTCTTTGGACAACATTTTCAATCAAATAATACCTTATAGATTGTATATACTTGTTAACTTAAGTAAACATCCGGGATTTTGACTTTTTAAATACAGTCAGATGCAGATTATGAACCAAAAATTACTTTGCATGTATTTACATGTAAACAACACATTTCAGGGCATAATACACATGTTTTCATAACAAAAAAACAATTGCATTGAGTAATATTTGAGTCTATGTTATAGCTTATACCTGACAGCCGATTTTTCCTTAACCCTAACCATTTTGGTTGTACTTGCTGCTGAACTTGATCCTCAAGTTGCTCCGGTGAAAGCCTTTACTTAATCTCTCGTCTTATTTGCAGAGATTTGTTTCAAAAAAAAAAACTTCATCGAACTTGCTTGATTCAGAAGAAATGTAGAGCGAGACTTTTTCAGAAAGTAAACTTTTGGATTTCGAAGAGGCGTAAATGTAAAACATCGGGAGTTGAGAGCATAACCGCTGGAGGGAAAAGGTGGGAGAAAGGATCTGTTGGTTTGTGTGCGCGTTTTTTTAATGTAATGCTACGTCGTTTTTGCCGCGGGAGTAGGATGCTCAATATGGGCCGCTCCCACGGTATACGAACTGGACTTAAACAGGCAATACCAGACCAAAATAGACTTAAATAGACCAGACCAGATCAGACCATACCAGACTTAAACAGACCGGACCAGACCAGACTTAACTTCCGTAGTTATAAAATACACAGACACCATACATTTACCAGATCAGACGAGACTAGACCAATTCAGACCAGACTTAACCAAACTAGACTTAAATAAACCAGATCAGACCAGACCAGCAAATTACAATCCAAGTAAAACCATCCTATAAACATAAACCGGAACTCGTCAACATGAGTCGAAAGAAGTGTCTATGAGGCTACAGATATTCAAAATGTGCATGACTTTGACTTTGTACTAACAAAAATCATTTCTCGATTATGAACTTGTCCCTGTATGGGTGTATCCTCTATATAAAAACGTCATCGTCGAAAATATCATGCTCTTATGTTATTTAACTTATTTCATACTTTAGATTAATTAAGAAAAATGTAGTGTTGGAAAAATGTGTTAAACATTGCATTAAATGGTCATTTTGGGGCAATTATTTGAGTGTGGTCCACTTCCGATTTGGGTCGGGTCAAAGTGGTTTCGGATTGTCCTTGTTAAGGGCTACAATTCGATATATGGTACGCTCAAAACGGATAACGGGTGAATGAGAAATTGATTCTCGAAGTTCGCTCGTTGAAATGGAAAAACTGGGAAAATGATGAGTTTCTAGTGTGTTTTATCCCACACCGAAAAACTCAAGGGATTTTCACCCCCTTATAAAGGGAAGCCTCTTTTAAGGAGTTAAGATTCCTAAAGGGAAATGCTCTCTCTTACGCGCAGGGGGGGGGGGGGGTGCCGATCAAATCCCGAAACGGAGAAGAAAAACCGCGACTCGTGTGCGCGGGCGACCTGCAGACACGAATGCCGTCCAAAAATCTATCTCTCAAGAGGGGGTTCTGCTGGCTTCGGACAGAAACCCTCCGAGGGGTGTTCTGTTGGGGTCTTCTGTCGCGCACTTCTTCCGTTACAACAATTAATGCCCAACGTTCTTCTCTTTTAATGCTGCGTTAAATGGACAGTTTATGGACGATTCAATGCCCAACGGACTGGTCATTGATGTCCAACGTTCAGGTCCATTAACACCCCATTTAACACACAACAAATCCTCCTATAAATAGCTGGCAGGTGCTTTGCAACAAACACACGGTTTGACAACGCACAACACTTTCTTGAGCTAAAAACTCTTCCAGCTACTCCCAAATTTCCTCTGTGTTCATACTTGGTTCTCGTAGTCATCGTATCCTGGGAAACGATTGTTGCAACGCTCCTAGCACCGTGGGAGGCAACAAATACGTTTTAAGGAAATCGTGCGTAGCACGAGCTTTGGCTAATTCTGCTTCATCTCCTTTCTTGTTTTTCTCTAGTCATTTTATTTAATTAATTTATTTTAATTAATTTTCTTTATTTTCCGAAACACACCCAACATGTAGATTATCGGATAAATCATCTTTCAATTGTTAATGATATATATTATTGGAAATTTGTTTGAATCATATGTGTGACTGGTGTGAGGGTCGTCGTTCTTGTGTAGTTGTTTTGCACTTTTGCTTTTGCATTGTCTTAACTTTTATGATGTGGTGAGTGTGGATTTTCTTTTCTTAAGGTATTATTTTCCTTAATTTTCCACAATGCGGAGCACTAATCCTAGATTCCTAGTTAATTTTGTATTATGCCTTTTTCATTTTCAATATTTCAAAAGGATAATTCTATTACTTCCAAATTTTGAATCTCATCTCACTAATTTAACACATGCAGGGGTGTAGCTAGGACGAAAATCTAAGCCCCGACCCACCCCAATTTTAAACGGGCACATCAAGTGCACGTATCATACAACCCTTCATTAACAATTTCAAAACTTTCATAAAGATTTTAAATGAAATATGTGTCCAATTAACATACATGGCTCATGCGTAACATGCATGGCCATGCACGAGCATCATGGCTCACATTTGCCACCATTAGAGAAGCTCCACTTGCCCCTTCATTTTCTCATGCTTTTATTAATCATTACTTTTCCATTATTTATTATGTTCATTAAATAGCATTAGTTTAGCTTCTATGGCCTTTTCATTTGGCCTTACGCATGTAACTGCTGTGTGCAGTATTTATACACACCTTAGCATGAATAATACGCAAGCAGCATTCTATCTAATTTGTCCAAACCCCTACAATGGCATCATTACAAAAACTTAGAAGGCTGGTACGATGAAATTAAAGCAAACTATGATATGGACTTATTTATTGTATTACAAATAAGGAGATTCTGTAATTGAAGAACAATGCTTCTAGTTAATTAAAGCAAGTTCATTATGAGCTTAATATGAGGTGACAAGGGGCAACTGCTAACACTCGGGATTCAACCTGGCTGATATGGTTAAATGTTTCAACACGTCTCCTTAGCCCAAACTTGAATGATCAATGTATGTCGGGTATATAAATAAGTTAAACCGACTCTTAACGAGCTACCCTTAGTCATGAGTCTTAAATAGTAACCAAATCTCAATTCATCCGACTCTTATATCATGTTAAGATAAGAGATTCAATAAAAAAAATCATTCAGGAGTTGTCCAAAATCTTATTGTATTTTATTTATTAGTTAGTTTAGACCAATGGTGTGGAATAAATATTTTAAAAACCACCGCATACAATTATTTGTCCTTGGGTTTCAAGTCTAGCCAGTCAGCCAAATGGACCAATCCGGGAGCTCAATGAATCATGACCTTTTAATGAGTGGGCATGTATAAATCAAGATATATATCATCATTGGTTATCCATAGATTTATTTGTTTATATATATATCATGCATATAGATATGAATGAGAAGTACTATTATAAACAAAAACGGTGTGCTTGTGCTACATAGATAATAATTCTCTTTATAAAGTGGCAGAATGGGACTGGTCCATTATTTCATAAATGATATTTATTGGTAGAAAAAAAGAGTAGTAGATAGAAAAGTGTAACGCATGTTCCTAATCTTCCGCATAAAAGACAAAAATCCTAGCAATTTAATTCCTGTAACTTTCGACCGTTATCGTTTCTGGTCCTGTAACTTTAAACACTAGCAAATTTGGTCCTGTGATTAATGAATTTTTGTAATTTAAGGATTTTCCCACCGGAAAGTACACTTTCCGGCGGAAAAGTTCAATGCCGGTGACATCTTTTCCGGTATGCTATTGCCGGAAAGTGTACTTTTCAGGTGAAAAGTCCTTAAATCACAAATATTAATCAGTTAGAGGACCAAATTTGCAAGTGACTAAAGTTACAGGACTAATAATGATAACGGGCGAAAGTTACGGGATGAATATTGTAAATTTCCCCACTAATAAATTGCCCATTTCTCTCGTTGCAAACATTTCAAATACTTCTGGCAGTTTCTTTATTTTCTCCAACCACCAAAAAAAGAAAGAAAAAGAGCCTAAAATGGTATCCGAAAAGAGGGCTGAACTTCCTCCTGGTTTTAGGTTTCATCCAACTGATGAGGAACTAATCATATATTATCTCCGAAACCAATCAACTTCAAGGCCTTGCCCAGTCTCTATTATCCCAGAAGTTGATGTTTATAAGTTTGATCCTTGGGAATTACCCGGTTAGTATATATATGTACGTAATTTTGTGTTATACACACACACACACACTAGAGGGGTGAACAAAAAAGTCGAGAAATTGAAACTGAACGATAAACTTATCAAAATAGAATTGATCAAAACTCATTCATTCTGTCGAGAATTGACTAAATCAACAGCCGTGCTACTTGTACACATAAGTTGTACACATTTCATGCACACACTCATACTTACTTGTATACACAAGCAGTTTCTAAACGAGCTGCTGTGTACACAGACAACTAGAGGGTGTATGCATAAAATGTGTACAACTTATGTGCACAACCAGCTTTTTCCATCATATATAGGTGACTCGGTTCGTGGCTTGAGATTTAAATATAAAACTCACCACACAGACCAAAACCGAACGAAGCACGCCAAAACCGACTGTAAATAACTGAAACTGATCGAATAAAAGAACCTGGTTCGGTTTTCGTTTTTCGTTATATATGCTTCGTACAAATTACTTATTAACTTTGTGTAGAGCGGGCGGATTTTGGAGAAAATGAATGGTACTTCTTCACCCCGCGGGACAGGAAGTACCCGAACGGTATTCGACCTAATAGGGCAGCCGTTTCGGGTTATTGGAAAGCTACGGGCACGGATAAGGCCATCTATAGTTGCTCTAAATATGTTGGTGTAAAGAAGGCTCTTGTGTTCTACAAAGGTAAACCACCTAAGGGTATAAAGACTGATTGGATCATGCATGAGTATCGCCTTAATGAATCACCTTCACAACCGCCCAAGCAAAACAGATCCATGAGGGTTAGTTCACTAGCTACCTTCTTATATAGTTATAATATTAAAATGGCCTCGAATTCTACTCTCAATGTTTCATTATTGTTTCATAACATGTGACATTTTATACAACCGAAAAAATACTTCGAACAACTTTTTAACTTTTTCCCATCTTTAATTAATTTATCAAGCCATTATAATAATCAAGTAAAGCCACTCCTAATATTCCAAAAAGGAGAATGATTACATAAATGACATGATGAAAGTTTAAGTACAACACTATTGAGTCGTTCTCGAGATCATAGTCTAGGATATGTAAGTAATTTAATGTGTTTGTAATGGATGTATGTACATATATAATCCATAAAACAACACTAATTCAATTCCAAGTTTTGTGCTTGTTAAGTTCTCGAGTCTTTGATCATCATGAGTTAAATTGTATATTAATAAATTATACTATGTCCGTCCCGAAAAGGTTCGCTAAATTGGTTTTTCTTGGTTAATAGCAATCAACTTTGATTAATGATATTTTTTTGGGAAAATTGAAAATAATAATCCCAACTATTACCGGTCCGCTAACAATAATCCCAACCATTGATTATTTTTTTATAATTCCAACTATATGGACCGTCCGCCAATAGTGGTCCATGACCAGATATTACCTGCTATAACAAGTGAATTTCAAATAGAAATTAAGCGTAAAAATTAAAAGTTGGAATTATTTATAGGGATTACTTGTTATATCTCTTCTCATCCGCTTTAGAAACTATAGGAATTTATTTAATTTATAGCCGGTCACGTCAGACCATTAGTGGCGGAAGGTTCCTAAAGTTGAGATTATTCTGAAATAATCGATAGTTGGGATTATTATGAGCCGACCGCCAATAGTTGGGATTATTAATATCAATTTTTCCTATTTTTTAATACGAAATTAATTTGGATAAGAAAATTATATGAAAATGTTCCTCATTCAAAATGTTTTCATAAAAGCATAAAATTTAAAAATTATATACAAATATAATAATTAAAATCATTGTCCAAAGTTCGCCATCATTGACCAAGAAAAGTTAATATGTCGAACCTTTTCGGGGCGGAGGTAGTACTATATTAATTTCATGCTAAAAATTACAGAATTTGTTCCAAGAAGGATGGTAACATATACGTTGTATAATATAGTTCCTTAAATAAGACGATCACTGTTTTTGGAGACATTTGCTCTTCATAATTCTAAAACATGGCATTTTTGTGAAAATCGGACCACCTAGGGTTTACTACTTAAGTAGGACTTATATGACCCTTAGTTATGAAAGAGATTAATACTATGTTAGTCTAAAATACCCTTAAGGTTCAAAAGTTTATCACTCCCTCTGATGGTGAGAGTTGTACACTAAATGGTTATTTTGGCCGATGATCGATCAAATATTGTTTGGTCCTATTTTTATGTGGAGTTTTATTTATGCAAAAATGTCACGTCTTGCTTCTACTTAAGAACAACTTCCTTGTATATTTCCCCAAAAAGAACTCCTCAGCTCTACTCGTAATCTTGTAGAAGAGAAGTCTTAACTTCTTTTGCCACTTTTAGTCCTTCGACTATTATGTCATTTAAACTTTTGATACTCGACTTTGTTTTTTTCCACTTTTAGTCCTTGACTATCTTGCTAGAGACACTTTTGGTACATGTCTTTGAAAATTTCTATATTTAGTCCTCCGACTTTCATAAAAGTGACACTTTTGGTTCTTCACCTATTATAATAATGACATTTTTAGTCCTCCATTTATTGTATCAAAATCATAGTGGAAGGACTAAAAGTGTCAATTTGATAATACTCAGAGGACTAAATGTGGGAAACTTTGAAGTCAAGGACTAAAAATGTCTCTAGCACAATAGTCGAGGAATAGAATTGGAAAAAATAAAAGTCGAGTACCAAAAGTGTCAATGACACAATAGTCGGGGACCAAAAATGAAAAAAAAACTCTTTATTTTTTTATAAAGAATAATTAAATAAGTCATACTTGAGAAATAAAAAATCAATACATTTATGGACATGCTAATTGTCGAAGTTTATTTCTGCGACTAATGGTCAAAGTTTACGAATTTTGAGTCTAAAATCAATACATTTATGGACATGCTAAGTGAGAACGAAATATTGAAACCAAGCATTGTTACAATTCAAGTATGTTCATGATGGATCAATGGTATTAATTGGGTTGTGGTTGTTTTTCAGCTGGATGATTGGGTGTTATGTAGAATTTACAAAAAGAAGGTTGTGGGAAATAAAGCTATTGAGATGGTGAAAGGTGAAGTGGATACCCAAACCCAAACCCAAACTCAAACCCAAACCCAAACCCAAACCCAAACCCAAACCCAAACCCAAACCCAAACCCAAATTGCACCCAATTGTGAGGTTGTGAACACTGCTAGGGGACCACAAGGTTTGATATTGCCAAGGCCATATTCGTTGACACACTTATGGGAGCTAGAATATTATTTTGGCTCAATTTCCCATACCCTAAGTGCTAACAATAATGATACTAATTCTCACAAGGCAAATCAAAACCCATGCATGAGCGATGGTGGAAATGTCTCTTTTGCCACTGGTCAAACTCCGCACCAATATAGCCAAGGTAGCAGCATCTCCAACCAGCCAATTATGCCGATTTACGTGAACCATGTTGCATTCTAATATCAGTAACACCAAGGGTATATGTGTCAATTGCCATGTGAAATAACTTTAACGTTTTGCAAGTGTTAAGCGTATATATAGGTTTTGGTTCAAATAAGAACACGATCTTAGGAGACAAATGAGAATGAATATGTATCGTTAGATTTGCTTTAAGTGAAACTCAATGTGCATTAGGTGAAATTGAAATGTGCAGCACAAAGGATACGATACAATGACATTATATGAAGCTGAATTGTGCATTAAGTGAAACTGAAATGTGCACTAGGTGAAACTGAAATATGCAGAATAAAAGGTACGATGTGATGTTATTTTTGTACATTTTATTCCGCACATTTCAGTTTCACCCAATGCACAATTGAGTTTAAATTTTTATTCTGCACATTTCAATATCATCTAATGCACATTTCAGTTTCACCAAATGCACATTTCTGTTCCACATAATACAACCCTACGGTCCAGATTCATTCCACGCTATATAGTATGTTATATATAGCGTGGGATATGATATATTAGTATCTGTAGTATGTTTTATGTAGCTAATGATGATTGATCTCATGGTCAAGACTCAAGATCAAAGTGTATTTCTATTATCATTGTATACAATTAGCTAGATGATGTCTATATGTAGAAATTTAAGAGTAAATATTTAAGACTTACTGTAATATGATAAGTTGTTCCTTCTATACGTGCTTGCATGCTTGGAATTGAAGCTCCTTCTATACGTTCTTGCATGCTTGGAATTGAAGTTAATTAAACCAGAGTAACAATATCTAATTAATAAAAAACAAAAACAAACAAAACTATATGGAAATAGTTTATGTATCATGTACAATTAACAAAAAGGTTTATCCTTAACAATGATTAAATTGAAATCGAATTTTAAAAAACAACTAATTTTGCATATGGACTAGAATATAATGTGGAAATAATGCCAGACGTATGACTACCAGCCTTTCCATTTCCAAAAATATAACAAGTTTGACCTTTTCCAAAAATGTGACCGGTTTTCCGTCTTCGCACAAGACCAGACCAGCCCATCAGATCTACGCATCTCTCCTCTCCGCCATCGCACACTTCCCCCTCCGCCAGAGCAGCCATCGATGCAAGATACGAAGCTCCTCACCCGTCAGGCTTATCTCTCCGCCGCGATGACTCTCCAGCCGCCACCGCTCTCCACTTGTTGCTCTTCTCCTCCTCCTCCTCCTCCTCCTCCTCCTCCTCCTTCTCATTTCTTGCCGCAACTTGTCGTCCAGATGGCTACCGGTGATGTATCTGCCGCTACATGGATGGACGACGATTGCTATTTAGGGCCACTGGTTCCGGATCTGCCGTAGTGGATGGATGTCGGTTGCGATTTGGGGAAGGGGCTACGAATTCGGGTGACGGTGCGGCGGTTGGGGAAGGGGCTAGGGTCGGGAAGGTGGGCTGAATAGGTAGTTGGCCGTTGTGAAGGGTGTTGGAATGGGGCTGTGACAGGGGAGGGGATGGGCCTAGCTGTGAAGGGTGTTGGGGATGGGACTGAGACAGGGGAGGGGAGGGGTTGAGGCTAGCTGTGAAGGGTGTTGGGGATAGTGCTGTGACAGGCCATACAGTGGTAGCGTGGTGATGCAGCGGTGGTGAAGCGGTGGTCCTTGGATTTGGGTGATAAGGGTGGATGAGATGGGGGTCGAGATGTTGGTTGGGGAGGGGAGCTTGAGGGATGGGGAGGTGGTTGGGGGATAGGAGGGGGTTGGGGACGTGGCTTGAGGCTGGGGATTCAAACGGGAGGGGTCGACGGTCGACGGTGATGGTCAGCGGAGACCCTAGGGCGGGGTTTAAAAACAAATTACTTTTTTGTCTTTTATCTAACTAAAAATAGGATAAAAGAAAAAAAAGTGACTAGTTATTAAAAATTCCAAAAATGTGACCAACATCACAATTAACCCCTGCAATGCAAAGTGACCCCGGCACCAAAGTGACTCTGGTACCACAGTGACTGGCCCACTGGCCAAAGTGACTGCCTCACTGGCCACAGTAACTACCCCACCGGCCACAGTGACTACCCCACCAGCCACAGTGACTGCCCCACCGGCCATGGTGACCGCTCCACCGATCGCAGTAACTGTCCATCGGCCACAGTGACACTTCGTCTCCGGTCACAGTGACACAACGTCTCTGATGTCACAACCAATCCCTCTCCTGCTCCTCATAGCCCCCTCAACCAACCCCACCCTAGGGCCGCCGCTGACCATCACCTCCGACTGCCGCCCCCTCCCCGGTTTGAATCCCCATCCCCCTCCCTAGCCCCCAGCCCCCTCCCTAGCCCCCGGCCACCTCCCCATCCCTCAAGCCCCCCTTCCCAGCCAACATCCCGACCCCCAACTCCTCCACCCCATCTCCTTTGCCCTTGTCACCCAAATCCAAGGACCACCGTTGCCCCACCGCTGCATTACCACACTACCACTGTCTGTGCTGTCAGAGCCCCATCCTTAACACCCTTCACATCTAATCCCGGTCCCTCCCCTCTCCTGTCACAGCCCCATCCCCAACACCCTTCACGGCTAGGCCCAGCCCCTCCCCTTCCCTCCCCTGTCACAGCCCCATCCCAACACCCTTCAAAACGGCCAACTACCTATTCAACCAACCTTCCCAACCCTAGCCCCTTCCCCAAATCGCACTCGTCATCCATCCAGTATGGCAGATCCAGAACCAGCAGCATTAAATCGCAATCGTCGTCCATCCGGGCAGCATATCCAGCACCGACGGCCATCTGGATGACATGTTGCAGCAAGAAATGAGGAGAAGAAGAAGAAGAAGAAGAAGAGAGTGGCAGCTGGAGAGCGGTAGTGGCTGGAGAGTCGTGGCGGTGGAGAGATAAGCGTGACGGGTGAGGAGCTTCGTGTCTTGCATCGATGGCTGCTCTGGCAGAGGGGGAAGTGTGTGATGGCGGAGAAGAGAGATGTGTAGGTCTGTTGGGCTGGGCTGGTCTTGTGCGAAGACGGAAAACCGAACACACTTTTGTAAAAGGTCAAACTTGTTATATTTTTGGAAATGGAAAGGCTGGTAGTCATACGCCTGCCATTATTTCTATATGTAAACTTAGCTTAACGGAATATTGTGTATGTGATCCTCATTTATAAAAAAATGGGCAGTGGCTTAAACTAGCAAACAAAGTTCAATTCGCCTCCTTGTCTTTAAATTCTGAATTGATGTACATGAATAATGGCAATTCAAGCACTATGTATAGCAGTTTCAGAATCTTCAATTGTAATCTAGTTTGGTGTTTTGAGTATATCGATCTGTGTTTTTTTGGCAAAAGTATATCAATGTCTTAATATGGAGATTACTCAAATCGCCGCCTAAATTGTATATAATTTTCATTGGATGAAACATTAGTCTGGCCTTTTGAGTTTTATTTCTGAAATAATGCAAAGTAAATAGGGTGGGGTGAAAACTATTTACGGATATACTGCTCGCACTAACTAGGGTTAACAAAATCGCCAAACTAATAAGTGGTGACTTCCCCCTGCACCGAGGTCATCGGTTGTGGCTGTGGGCGACGACGTCTGCGCTGCTAACGTGGATGCAGAACGACTCTGTCACGGCTCACAGGTTGAGATGATGTTGTTGTAGATATGGATGTCGTAGTCTTTTGGCATAATCAACCTGATGAGGATGTCATATCTATGAGGTGACCATAATCAACCTGACCCAACACATCAACACATAACGACGCAATCTGACATAACCTCATGGCATCTGTCCACATCGTGCGGGTGATTAACTGTAGTAGTCTTTTGCTCATGGATACGTTGCAATGCCCATATCTCAAATGTGAAACATGAATTATTATTGATTTAAAATATATTTATAGTGTTGAATGTGAAACATGAAGTATGGCACTTACTGTCAAGTGTAGAGCAATCGAATTAGGCTGATAGTGGTGAGACGGTAGCCTAAATGAAGGGGATATGAACAATCGTGTGATGGTATAAAACCATCTCATGTAATCTTGAGAAACTGATGGATGTATTGTGAGTGTGCCAATGACAACATCGTCTTCTCGCCTCTCCCAGATCGAAATGTATCGCACATGAACTGGTAGGATGCTCCCAGCTGGGCTGGTAAGTCGGCCGTCTTGAACTTCCTCCTTGCTCGACTCTCTTTTCGTGGTGGGCTCTGTCAGTTGGGTTGGTCCGAGCTCCTTAGTCACCGGGACCACTAATCGGCCATCCTAGTAAGACAATGGGCTTGGGCTTCATTGAGCCACTGGTCTGAGCCGTGGACCTAGACTCACGGGTCTAAGCCTTAGGCCTTGAAAAGAGGTTTGCGGTTGTAAGGCTCTAAAAGCTCTATTCAGGTCTAAAGTTTTAGCAGGCTCGTTAACTTCTTTTTTGGGTCAAACACTTGAGGAGCCTCAAGAACTCTTTTTCGACCCCTCTCTATTTAAAAATCAGCAACGTAGATGCAGACTTGAATCTATGAATTTCGTATATAACTAATCAAGAATAAAAAATGATCAAATGTTTCGATTAGATTCTACATCATTATAATGAAAGCTTTATTATTATGATTATCGTATTGTATTATTCATTCAATTGTTGATTCTGGGTTCAAACAAGTGGTATCAGAGAAGAGGCGTAAAAAATAACTATTCGTAAGAATTCTTCGGGGAAGAATTCTTATTCCCAAAACACTAACAAATTTATATAAATTTCAGCCCAAAACAGTAACATATTTGGCATAAATGCATTGCACCACAATTCATACAAAAAAGTATTGGGTATAGAAGTAAAGTACAGACAGAATACTGCCATCTATTTTGCACATCCCTTTTGTTAATGAAGTATTTTGTAGTAGTAATTCAGCTTGGAAAAATAACCACTAATAAAGGATTAATGCTGTAATATAATTTATCAATTTTTAACGTAAGTGTATTTATATGATATTTTTTAGTATATGGGCTTAAAGGATGGATAGAAAATAATAGAAGAGCTTATTTGACCCGTTTTAAAAAATTAATTATCACTTGTTATTGGATGTGTACTTAACAATTATAATTGGGTACAAGTTAACATATTTTCTTGCATTTCTCTCTATAATAGCTTAATGCATATAAAAACAATAAATACTGCGTTAATTATGTGTAATCTTGTTTACAAACTAAAGTGAAATCCGTACTATAAACTATGGAATAAGCGAATAAAATAAAGTGAAATAAAGTTTAACTTGTATAAACTTACCTTTGATCTTGTTCTGGAATCTATTGAAATCTTTGGTTGGAATTTCCTTCACATGGGAGACGTTAAATGGCCAATCTGCTGATTGTGAAATGCCCTTATCGTTGACCGCTCTGTATGCCACACTCACACGAGTGTGAATGTCTTTCTCTTTGTAATTGGGTTTATGCATTAGGCTTAACGTATCAAAATATGATAGTTCAATGTAGTCTTTCGTGTCCCTTATTGTGCTATTGAATGTGCCTTGTAGTAGTACCAATTATATTACTTCATTAATCCACTAATGAAGTGTTTTGTAGTAGTATTTCCACAATCTCATGTTTCTTCCTATACCCATCATAATTGAATGAAGTGATGATGACTTTTCAAGTGCGGGAAGAGAGACTATCATCTCCTTCATGAAAGGCATTTCAAACCTTAATCTCGTAAATGAGGTAAGCTTATAAAAGAGTAGCTTCTTGCAAGTTTGAATCACAAAATGAAGTTTTTTCAAAAGCTCCAATGTAGAATCTACACACTTAATACCTATCCACTTCATCAAAACAAGCAAGAAATAAAAAACGACAGTTCAAATTTACACAATAAACAATTATATCAAGACAAGCAGAATATAGTAGAAGCAGCAAGAATCTTATAAATAAGTATTGTCCATGAATCTTTGTGCGTATGCATAGTAAGTGTAGAAATGCAAAAGTCATAATGTCATTTTGGAATAGAAATTTTGATCGCGTGAGCAATTTCTAATTAATTGCATCCACTTGAGAGGAAGTTCCTTTAGTCACACATTTTCCCCCAAAAAAAGAGGAAATCACATGGAAGTTGAAGAATATATCTAACTATTACTACTCACGTGTTATTGTTAGTTATAATTAGTTAGTCAGTTAGATGGATAACTATACTACTAGAATCTTCTTCTTGTGTATATAAATATACATCTAACCGTATGATTGTAGTTTAGACCAAGCAATAATATTCAGATTCTCCCTTTAGCTTTTTATCTTCTTCTTCCAGCTTTCTGTGTTTCTTCTTTATTTCCGCCATTGTTGGTGAGTATTCTTCAGTGTTGATAATGTGAAATATGACCTACAAGGTGATTAACGATTTCATATGGTATCAGAGCTAAAGTTTCATCATATAAGTCAATTGTATCAATTTCATTTAAATAATTTCATAGAAATAAAGTTCGATCATTTCAAATGTATGGAGTACATATAAAATAAATATATCAAAGTCCAAAAGACTAGGGTTCAACTTTAGTTCCCAATTTTAATGTTATATATTTCATGTTTATTTATACTAGATTCTCATTCGTGTGATGCATAGTACAAAATGTAATCAAAATTAATATAATGTTAGTTAATTTCTAATTTATTATAATAAAATTTTATATTAAAATGTTATAATAACAAATAATACTACAAATCTGATTTAAAGTTGAAAAATCTTTGGACGTATGCATATTAAGTGTAGAAATGCAGAAGTCATAATATCATTTTGGAATAGAAATTTCGATAGCTTGAGCAATTCCAAAGTTAATGCATCCATTTGAGAGGAAGTCCCTTTAGTCACGCGTTTTCCCAAGAAAATACATGGAAATCATATGGAAGTTGAAGAATATATCTAACTGTCGGGTTAATAGGGCCAATACAGCTCGGCCCATTACCCCTGGCATGAGAATCATTTGGTGGCTGGAAGCTAGCCACCCACAATCCTCCACGTCAGCAACACTACCTACCCCTTGGTAGTATAAATAGTAGCATTTATTTCATTGTAAAGGGTTGACAACTTAGCACCCTTAGCAAGTAGCATTTATATCAGCTCATAGAATAGCAGTAGACGATCGGCCTCGGAGCTAGTAGTTGAAGTGTGTTTTATACGGATCCTTATTATCATTTAATAAGATACGACCCACTTACTACTGAATTTCTTCCCATCTTTGCTTGTTTATTTCATAATTTAGTAACACTCACCACTCAAAACTCAAAGCATACGTGTTGGGCCTTTGGGTTGGCGGAGTAAACTTCAACACTGGCGCCGTCTGAGGGAAACTGATCAAAACGTTCTTCCAAAAACAAGCTCTAACATGCCCAATACAGCTCGGCCCATTACCCCTGTAATGAGAATCACCATAGGCCCATCTTGGGTACGCTCATCGTGGTGGTACACAAATAGGGCAACTTTCGCCTCACGGAATCTTGAGCCTAACAGGAGCCAGGTGAACTTGTGGACTCTCTCATGGAAACCACATGCCGTACGGATCCATACCCTTGGGCTGTTAGAGAACCCGGGCAAGACTGTGTGGAGGACCAGCAGTAGTTGAGCTTATTATTTTCAATTTTTCCTTTAATAAAATTAGTTTCACTCCATTATATATGATGCTCCCATTCATATTCTAGAATGAAGATTTCCAATTCATTGTTAGTTAAGTTTAATTTCTTCAAAAAGAGTTGATGTTTTTGGGTTAATTTGTGTTACACAAATAAAATTGTATGCCACAATTGTAAGAGAAACGTTTACTACACGACTGATACAAACTACTAGCTCATACACCATAAATTGTTTATCCAAAAAAGTATACGAAAGTAATTTTTCTCACCATACATATTCTCCACGACTCACGACTGAACTCTAAAAACTAATTACTCTGTATTCTTTAAAAGTTTAGATAAAAGACGAATTGATACACATAATGAATTTCTTTTTAAGATTAAATCGAAAACTGTGTAGAGAATAAACACTACAAAAAAATTACGGGATTGACACGAAATTTGGCATTGATTTATTGATTTTTTGTGCCAAATAGCTCGTGCCGAAGTGTTTTTGGCACGGATTTGGCATATCTCTGCCAAAATCCCTGTCAATCCTATGTTTTTTTGTAGTGAAAAGGGGAGAATTAACGGGACATATATATTATTAACAAAAATGATGTTTGTACACACTCTTATACACACTTTTGTACACACCTATGTCTGTGAAAGCTTTTTTTTTTGTCTGTGAACATCGATTCACAGACAATGTTTTGCACAAACAAAATATTGTCTGTGAACCGGATTCACAGACAAAAAAAAGCTTCACAAACATGGTGTGTATAAAGTGTGTACAACAGTGTGTACATCAAGAATGGTTGTATTATTAAATCTTATCAAAGTTGGTCAAACATGACATTACAAAGGGCATGTAACAATTTTAAATGAATTTCACGAAAAGCTCATGGGATAAAATTTAGTGTAGCTACTTGAAAGAAACCTACTTTATATCCACATCTCAACATCTTCTTTAAATGATAGTAATTTAAGAAGTTCCAATAATTGTTCACCATTTAATTTACATGCCTTCTTTAATTTATTATTATTATTATAATAAATATAAACTGAAGCTATCAAAAACTCATTGAATTCAAAGGGTAATTAAGAAGATGGAAATGATGTGGTTAGTGGTGGGCTTAATGACGTTTTGGTGGGGCTTTATCTATTACAGAGTGGCGGAGAAAGGGAAGAAAGGGCCGAGGAGTTGGCCGGTGATCGGCGCCAGCGTGGAACAGCTTGTGAACTATCACCGGATGCACGATTGGCTGGTCAACTATCTCTCCCGGTCAACGTCAGTCGTTGTCCCTATGCCCTTCACCACTTACACTTACATTGCCCATCCGGATAACGTCGAACATATTCTCAAGACCAACTTTCATAATTATCCAAAGGTACCATGTACTTTATTACTTTTTCTTCTTTTCTTCATCACTGTATATAGTAAGAAAAGAATGTTTGGGTTGGGGCGGGGCGGGGCAGGCCCAGAGATTTGTCAAAATAGGGTCACACTAGTAGTGAAATCCTTGATAGGAAGCGGAAACACTGATTTTACTTTAAGTACTAGTAGTGAAATTACTGGCCGATCGAAAGCGGGGGCACTTGCCCCCGAGGCCCCTCCCTAGGTCCTCCACTGGGTGGGGGGCAAAGTTCACTCAAGTCTCTCGTTTGTGAAAGGTTTTAAATTTAAATTTTACAATTGTGAGGTTTTGCTCCAATGTTCTCTATGATTTTCCTTAACTTTATGGAGTAACTCATCGGTTGAGAATGAAGAAGTTGATATGGAGGTAGAGAGTTCGTAGTGAAAGTAACAAACTAGCAACCTGATTGCTAGTGTAAGTGATTCCTCCTTAGGACTCGGTATCAATGAAAATTGTGATCAAATGCGAATTTATTTGTCTAGGGTTATGCAAGCATAAGTCTCACATATGGATTGCATCTCTAACACAAATTGGTTTTCGTACACCCAAACATGATAACTATAACTTAGTCTAATTGGACATAAATAAGTTGTATTATATATGAAATAAGAAAAATAGAAATTGTGTGATTTAAAGTTGTGTAAGTGAAAGAGAAATAAGTAGAATTACAAATTAAATACTTCCTCCGTTCTTTAATTCTTGCAACATTGTGATTTTTGCACTATTCACAAACCTTACTTTGACCACGATTTTCTACTAATATACATATTCAAATTATTACGTATAAAATGTTACTCCCTCTGTTCCAGAAAATTCTTCCCAGATTGACTTGGCACGGATATTAAGAAAGTGGAACAAAGTGGAAATGTGTGGTTGTAGTTGTATAAGAAAAATGTGAAATGAATATGAACCACACAAATTGTTCAAAAATGATAAGTTGAGAGAATTTTTTGGGACGGTCCGAAAAGGAAAGTAAGAAGAATTTTATGGGACGGAGAGAGTATTGAATTCTTATCTATGTGAATTTCCAAAATATCAACCTTTTATAATATTTACTAATACATAATTAAATATAATTACAGTCAAAGTTATGCGTTGACAAACGTGAAAATACAAAAGAGTGGGTTCAAATTATTATGAGTGGTGCACAAATCTCAAAGTTTTTGGAGATGTCTGATTGTTTGTACGTGACCCAGTTTGGTGCAATGAGAACGAAAAGTGTAATCCATAACATGTACGAAAGTCTTCGTACCATTGGTACAAGATAATGCAACTATTAAGAAAAGTATAGTGACGTTGTTCATATTAAATACATAAATGTTTATATAGTAAGAATTAATTAGAATCACAAAAATATTACTAAACATGATAAAGAAAATAGTCTAAACAAGATTTAACTAATCTCTAAATGCACAAATAGGACAGTTATTTATCATCTCAAAATAAAGCTAAAGTATACTCTATCTTCCTATTCTACCTTTATTATAATAACCTAATAAGATAATCATACTTTAGTTTATAATAATAACAACAAACAATTAATAAAGAAATCATAACATTCAAAATAAAATAAAAAATATTTTAAATTAAAATTAATAATAAAAATAATAATAATTAAGAAACTAAAAACAACTTTAAAAATAAATAAAAATAGATAAAACACATTAAAAAATATGAAAAATTTGGAGACCTTTCTCGCAGTCTCGATCATCTCCCACCAATTTCACCGCTCATCGACAAAAAAATGTCATTTTTGTGTAAACACTGCATTTTACTATGGGAGAATTTGACTTTGCACCCCACTTTAAAAACTTTTGACTTTGCACCCTATCGTATAACATTTGTGAAGGAAATTTTCTAAATGGGGTGCAAAGTCAAAGGATTTTGAAGTAGAAGGGGTGTAAAATCATTTTTTTTAACATGGGGTGCAAAATCCCATTTCATCCAAAAAGTGGGGTGCAAAGTCAAATCCCCTCTTTTATTAGTTGGAATTACTTGGAAATGCCAAATATTTCTCGAAAATTGCCATCAAGATGACATTACTGACACATGTTGCCATTTTTTTCGATGATCGAAGTTGGTGGTACTGGAAGGTTGTTAAGGTGGCAGTAGAGGCTTGCATTTTATTTTTCATTTTTTACGTTTTTTATTTTTTTAATTTAATTTTTTAATAGTTTTCATTCTATATTTTTTTTTCTATTTTGTATTTTTACTAACTTTATTTAATATTTCTTTTAGTTTTTTTTCATTTTTATTCTAAATAATGTTATGTTATTATTTTTATGTTTTAATTATTAATGAAATATGAATTGTATCAAAACAAAGTAAAGATACAATTGGAAATCTAATCCTGTGTAGGGAATTTAAAGTTGTGCTCCTATTCTTGCAATTAAAGTTGGGGAAAATAATTTAAATACCTTAAACTTTAATGGGGTGTGAGAAGAGTATCCCAAACTTGCATATGTAATATATATACCCTGAACATTGTATAAAAAATTATTTTTGCACCATGGTTGTATGATTTTTTGCAAACACAAATTTATTGAAATAATTACATAATTTAAAATAATACAAGCTTTGTTAGAATGCGATTAACATTCTAAAATTTCATTTGTGAAATAATAATATTACATCCGGTTTAATTTAATTTTAATTGCATCCTCATAATTGTTTTGTCTATTTTAAATTATGTATTTAACACCTTAAAATTATATTTGTGAAAAAATATGTGATCTTGGTGCTAATATAACTTTTTATATAAAGTTTGGGGTATATATATATATATATCACATGTGCAAGTTGGAGTACTTATCTCACACTCTTTCAAAGTTTGAGATATTTAAATTTTTCTTCCCATTAAAGTTTCATTCAATCTTAGTTGGAGAATTTCAACATGATTTGACGGTATGAGACAAATTTAATTAGGTGGATGACAAATATATTGTATTAATAATATATAAAAAATAATATAAAAAATAGCTAAACGCGTAAAAACGTTTTCAACTTTATTATTTTTATTATTACACAACTCAACGCATAAAATGAAAAATTTCATAATTGATAAAAAAAATTAACAAATAAGACTCATAAGGTGAAAATGGGCTTACCAAATGGTTTCATATCTTCTTTTTTCTTTTCTTCTCCTTTGTGACACTTTCTCTCCCTTACTATTAATCTTGGGAACGTTTTTCAGATTTTGTCAATATATTAATTCTCTTTAGTACTATAGCTTTATGTAATGATTTTCTTTATTATGACCAAATAAATAACATCTTAGGAATAGAATTATGTTAGTAATATTAGAAGAAACTGGGAAAGTAAATACATTTTAGTTTTATTACGAACAATAATTTCTTAATTTTTCTGTGTTTCTTTAATTGTAGAAAAATATATATAAAATGTTTTGAGCCAGAGCAGCAGTTTAAATTTGTAATTGACTGCAGGGAGAAGTTTACCATTCATATATGGAAGTTTTGCTTGGAAATGGTATATTTAATGTAGATGGTGAGCTATGGAGGAAGCAGAGAAAGACTGCAAGCTTGGAGTTTGCTTCCAAGAATTTGAGGGATTTCAGCACTGTTGTCTTCAGAGATTATAGCCTCAAACTCTTCACCATTCTAACCCAAGCTTCTCTGCTTAACCAGCAAGTTGACATGCAAGTAAATAAATGCTTAAAACAATTAGAACACCTTTTTTTTCTCTTCGTAATTTAAAAGATCTGCCTGTTTGGAACATTTGTTATTTTACATTTTGACTAATAAGCTTTGACAACAATTTTTGTTAGCATTGACTAATTGTAGATTCTCAACTAGTAGATACATTGATGATAGAAAAGTTACTCCTTTACTGAAACAAAGACAAATCACATTTATATCATATAATGACTTATTTGCCCCTTCATAAATTTCACTTTTTCATCTCTTATTATCATCTCATACTGGCTAAAGTAAATTTTGGTAACTTTTTCATATATAAATCTTGATGGTGTGATTTTTACTTTTCTTAATTTTGGTGTTATCTTAAAGTGGGTGTTTGATTTTATTACACTTTTTGGACAAACCAGTTCACCCATTATTGGACTCCAAACTAGCTCTTAAATTATAAGCAACAAGACAAACACTTTTATGACTCCTTTTTTTGGTTGCATTTTTTTGGTAGGACTTGCTAATGAGGATGACTTTGGACTCTATATGTAAGGTGGGATTTGGTGTGGAAATAGGGACATTGGCCCCAAATTTACCAGAAAATGCATTTGCCAAGGCATTTGATGCAGCCAACATTATTGTCACTCTCAGATTTATTGATCCATTGTGGAAAATCAAGAAATTCCTGAATGTAGGATCTGAAGCCATTCTTGATCAGAGCATCAAAACCATTGATGATTTCACATACTCTGTCATCAAGAAAAGGAAGGCAGAGATAGAAGAAATCCAAAAGAATGAGAAACTAGTAAGTAGAAGAATAAGAAGAATTTCTGTTACATAAGGTGTGAGAGTCCATTCTCTAGTATAATGAATAATGTAGAAAAAATAGCAAAGCTAGTCAAAAATTATAGAGAGAAGATGCAAAAGTAAACAAAATGTGTATAAGAGGCAAAAATGTTGGAAAAACATGCCAAAAAGGATTAAATCATTATAACGTTAGTTATGCGGTACATTTGAGGTACCATACCTTGCAGATATGGACTGATTATCATATTGCAATTAATTATTAGTATTACAATAATATACTCCCCCATCCTGAAATTAACTTCGTAATTTGATTTCACGGGTTTTTAGGTAGGAAAAAGTAAGAGTTGACTTTTTCGAAACTACTCTTGATATAACAAATGAATGCAGTAGTCCAAATAAAGTAAAGGAGGTAAATGAATATTAAAGTAGGGGGGGGGGGTGAGTACTTTTAAAGCAAAAGCTTATCAAAAGGAGAAATAAAGTAAAGTAGGAAGAACTTTGGAACATCCCAGATAGGAAAGGTGGAAGTTAATTTCGGGTTGGAGGGAGTATTAGATAGGAGCTTAGGCTTGTTATGAGTCTCAACCTTAAGAGTTAAGATATAGACAAATTCAGTGATGAAATGTAGAACTGTGAGTGAGATATATAGAAATTTTAAGATTTAACCATAAGTCCAGCTAGCTAATTTAGTTTTCCTTTTTATGAATCTAAACAGGTTAAGAATGACATATTGTCAAGATTCATAGAGCTTGGGAAGGAGCCAGAAAACAACATGAATGACAAAAGCCTGAGAGACATAGTGTTGAACTTTGTAATAGCAGGACGAGATACAACAGCAACAACTCTGTCCTGGGCTATATACATGATCATGACTCATGAAGATGTTGCAGAGAAGCTTTGCTCAGAGTTGGCATCAGTGGAGGAAACCCGGGCAAGAGAAGAGAATGTTACTTTGCACAAGTACAGCTGTGATGATCCCGAGTCGTTAAACCGAAGGGCGGTCCAGTTCGCCGAGCTCCTCAGTTATGATTCCTTGGCTAAGCTTTACTATTTGCATGCTGTGGTTACTGAGACTCTTCGCCTCTATCCCGCTGTTCCTCAGGTTTATACAAACTTTATTTCAGCATATGCATCCCCATTCTCTTAACTTCCCTGTTTTTAGGCCTAGGCCGGATCCGATAGGTGATCTTGCCATGGGTCTAACACGAACATATGTTGTATGGAAACGCGGGAAACGTGAGAAAATGGGAAATAAGAAACATCATTTGCTGAATGGAAAAACAAGTCTAGAGAGATTCTTAAAAACAGAATAAGGATATCGTTCGAGTTTTCGTGCTTCATAGACTTTGATAATACAAAAAAGTACATCATTTATGTCAACAACATAATATAATAGAACTAGTTGTGCCTGTCTGTGTAGGATCCAAAGGGGATTTTAGAGGATGACATATTACCAGACGGAACTAGAGTAAAGGCTGGGGGAATGGTCACATATGTGCCTTATTCCATGGGCAGAATGGAGTACAACTGGGGCCCAGATGCTTCTTCCTTCAAGCCTGAGAGATGGCTCAAAGATGGGATTTTCCAGAATGCATCTCCCTTCAAGTTCACCGCATTCCAAGTACCTATATTTCATTGAAGATTCAAGAAAATATATAAATTTTATGTTAATTTACATTGTTTCATGATTTTGTTTTTGCAGGCTGGGCCAAGAATATGTCTGGGAAAAGACTCAGCATATCTCCAGATGAAGATGGCATTGGCGGTTTTGTGTCGATTCTTTAAGTTCAAGCTGGTTCCTGGGCATCCAGTGGAGTATAGGATGATGACCATTTTGTCCATGGCTCATGGACTCAAGCTTACAGTTTCACCAAGACCTGAAAATTATGCATAGTCTTTATCTAATGAATGTGTTTGTTTTTTTGCTTTTTCCCTCATATATATTTCAGTAACTGTAATTAAAATGGTAAACTTCTAATGGAAAAGAATCCTCATGTTGTGGATATATAGCGTGGAATAATCAATTATAAAAGGAGCAAGAAGAATGATAATGCCAGAGTTAGTTTTGTTGGAACAGATTTTAAGTGTTGGATGAGTATTATCCAAATTAAACATGGCATTGGCGGGTTTTCCTGATAGTTTTGTGTTGATTAATTTATTATGAGTCGCAGATTTCTAACTCCTAAACATGGCAGCATTAAGCATTCTCTTTGGCCTTTGGGAGTATTTGCATATCCAAAAGTTTAGCAAGGAAAAACAATTGGAATTATAGAGAACGTTCATAATAGAGTAAAATTTTCTAAAATAGAGTAAAATTAAAATATTAACAATCAGGATAGGGAACGTTTATTGGTTTACTTCTTTAAGAAAAAATTAATTAATTAATTAAAAATAAATAAAATAATGACATTAAAATTGAATATAATTAAGTAGGGGCAAAATGGTCACTATATATAAAAGGTTTAAAATAAGGTGTTTTAATTGAATTTGTTATAACCTTAGTCCTTAGATAAGACGAAGTAAAACTTTATTCATTTAAAAGACACAATTTTTTGAACAATCACACACATATTCCAAATGGATAATTTATACGAAGTAATAAGTAATTGAAAGCGTGAATTTTGCTATGTTCATAAATGAGCAAAAAAATTCTTATAATGCCGATTCTTTAAATGCCGATTCTATCGGTAAAACACATAGTTTCAATTGTATGAACCCATAACCTTCTTGGTAAGTTAGTTTCTTATATTGGTCTTACTTAACCAACACAATTTTCATTTTTGACGCCGTTGTGCGCTGGAAGGTTGTGTGCATACCTACAATTCTTAAGTGCTTTAAAAACATTGTTAGTGCTTAATGGAAGCGGCACCCATATACTCATACAAGTGATTTCATCTAAATGTTTTATGCAATTGACACACTACCCATAAAAGTTATGACAACCACTAAGAGATTTTATTTTACATGTCATATTTGGAGCTCAGAGATTCTTCTTGTACACATTTTTCTGTGCACACTCTTACATGTCGGCGAGAGACTTTTTTTGTTGTGAATAACATGTTACAGACAAAAAAAAACCTCTCACTAATGTGTGTAAGAGTGGGTACAAAATGGTTTTTTTCTTTGAAGTGAACCTTTATTATAAAGGTCATATTTGGAGCCACACGGCCAACAAGTCGGGTTTTTACCTACAAGCTAAAAAATTAAGGAAATATGGTGAACAATGAACACCCCAACACAAGATACGTGGTAGTGTGGTACATGTTTTCTTTCTGAATAATTATGCCTACAGAAATATGGTTACATTTTTTGCAACCAAGAATGCTACAAATTGTGGTAAGTTTTTTCAATCCTGGTTATAATTAGCCTTAATTCAATAACAACTTTTAAAATAAATATCATTATTTTCTTTTGTAGGAATAGGACAACTGTGAAAAAACAATAACCTACCAAAACCAAGTGCAAACTTTATTAGAGGTGTCAGGTGTGATGATATAAACGTTGTGATTGTTTCTCAAAATTAATGTCTATTGATTTATGTGGATGAATATGTTGTGAATAACTCATGCACCATGGGGGTTCTCGAACCCTAAAGAGGATGGTGAAGATTGAAGAACTAGTGCACCGTGGTGATTCTCGAACCCTTTATGCTCTGTTTGGGTAAAGTTGTGATTCTCAAACCCTTTATGCTATGTTTGGGTAAAGTAAACTTAAGTAAACCTAGTGCAATAAAGTAAACATAAATTTTAATAAAAACCAGGTTAACCTAAGTGGATCTAGGTTCATGCATAAAATAGTGTTTGAAACTAAATAAGGTGAACCTAGGTTAATGTAATAAATGTTGTTTAGATGAAGGTACTCTAGCTCATTTTATGTTATAAGAGAACTTAACCTCCAAAATTCCCCACTTCAGAGGTTCTTCATTTTTAGGTTCTTCCAGGTTCTCGAGAGTTATGTGAGGCGAACACATAACCTAGGTTCTTGTTGCAAAAATACAAACAAACGATGTTAACTAAAAATTGAATCTGCAATAACCTAGGTTGACCTCCAAACAAACAGACTTTAAAGTATATGCATGATAATGTAAAGATTTTTAACTCACACCGCATAAAACTTTTTCGCCAAATGACTAACTTCCGTTAATGTGTCCAAGATATAATAGGTTCCGTTTCTCTCTTGTGAAACATTAGAGTTAACCTAACTTTTGAATATAATACTAGGGGTGGGAGAAAAAAACCGTAACCGATTAACCGCGGTAAATAACCGAAAAACCGGTGTTTGTTTTGGTTAACCATACCGTGTTTTTTAAATCTTGCGGGACGGTTAACCAACCGGTAGAAAAAACGTTTTACTATACGGTTACGGTTTTGAAATTAGATACCGCCGGTTAACCGCTAATCCAAAGTTAATATATTGCTCCCAAATTCATACATACATTTTGCTTATTTATCCAATGTGAGTTCATAAAACTCCATGTATTCAATATTAACTCCTTATCCATATTTATTTACAAATTTACGGAGTATATATATGGTATTGCATCTTAGATTTAATACTTAATTTTATTTTCAGATTTTATATTTAAAATTTCATTTTAGATTCAAAGAATATGGTATTGCATCTTACAGGAAATTTTCTCAACATTCTGAAACGTAAGTTTCAAATCTATCTTTTTTAGTTATACACTACGAGACAGTACGAGTACATATTGAATCACACTTGAAGCATATTACGTACTCCGTATAAATTATTCGTAATACGTACTCCGTATGTAGTATTATATATTGTAGTAAACTTTTGGTTGGTAAAAAAGTTATTCTGAAAACCACAATACTGCATATACGTAATTTACTACGTCTGTAACGTAATTTAGTATAGGGCGTGATTCATACGGCAATATTAAAACGAACCTAGTTAGTAGTTTATTCATATACTTTGTATATACGGTTTTTTGGTTAACCGATTAACGGTTAACCTATGAGATGGTTAATTGTTACCCGATTAACCGTCATTATGGTACGGTTAATGGTATCATAAACATATTAACCGATATTTCGGTTAACCATAAATTGGTTAACCGAAATACGATTAACCAACCATGCCCACTCCTATATAATACAATGGTTATGAAAGTGTGGGGGAAAGGCACGGCTTTAATAACCCATGATTATTTTTTTACTAAATGTTCCGAAAATAATAAATAAAAATGATTGCGCTTATTTGGTTAATTTCATGCTAGACGAAGTCATGTTAGTTTTAACATATTGGACTCCTAAATGATCTTCTATTTGATTTCTAATAATAATTAAACACCTCTAGCATTTTCTGAAATATGTCACTACAAAAAAACAACCCATTTGTCACAGATTTTTGTCACGGATCCGGGCCGTGACAAACTTGTCACGAGCTTTGTCACGGATATTGTTGGTTTGTCACGAAGAAGGTTTGTCATGGATATGTCCGTGACAAAAATCCGTGACAAAAATCCGTGACAAATTTTTGTCACGGATGTAATCCTTGACAAACAGCCTCCGATGACCGGCAATTTACTCCGACCAAAATATATTTACTTCCGGGCCATTTGTCACGGATCTATCCGTGACAAATCCGTGACAAAATTCAAAAAAAAATTGTCACGGATGTTCAAAGTAAAAATAAATGATTTTTCTCACATTTTAGAAACTTAAATTTAACAAATGATATATCAAATTTTTAATGAAGGCCCAACATCGATGGCATCCATCTCAAAGAATACAAATCCAGAGTCTCGGGGTGGTTGAGACCCACTTTTAAGACTGCCCGGAGTAAGTGTAAAAAGCCGAGATTCCTTGGCGATGATGTCTGGAAGAACCTCGTTCATCATTAGTCTACAGATCCAGAGTTTTTGAAGAGAAGCCAATCCGGTAAGGCAAACCGGCTCTCCAAGAGAGCCAATGAGACACAATGGCACAGGGGCCGCAAACCTCGGGATAAGCATAAAAAAGATCTCGTAAATTATACTTCGTGAAAATTATTTCCATTACATCCCCTCATATGTATATATATTTCTTTTTAAATAACTTGAAATCCGTATAGGAAGGGACCGGACCTGTGAAAAAGAGGGTGTCACCATGGCAACTCATCACACATTGTTGGAATCCGCACAGGGTTCAGTCATCGCCGCCACCTCGCCTCTCCGAAATTGAAGTAAATAACGCAACTTCAATTATTCAATAAATTCCGATTTTTTTTATCTTGATTATAATATATTTTTGAACTTGTAGAGGAAGTATGAGGAAGAGCGATGGAAGAAAGTCGATGAGAGTGGTAACTCGGATGCCGATCTTGATGAGAGTCAAGATGATGATGTCATCTTGGCGGCTACCGGAGTTTACAAGTGCCGGGTGCCGTTAATGGGGGCTGAAGGTATACGGATCTTGCAAAACTCCAAAGGAGCAAGCTCATCTTCTCATCAAGTGTATGATGAACGGGATGCATGGGTTGCCCGCCTGGAGAAACAATTGACGGAACGGGAGGACGAGGATCAGATAACTAAAGAATGGTTGGCTGAGTTTGAACGTCAAATGAATCGTTTCAACGCCGCCTATCGCCCTCCCATGCACATTCAACAACCCGAGATGACCCCTCAAATTCCCTTCATGGGCGGCATGGGCGGCATGGACAACATGGGCGGTATGGGTTTCGGCAATTATAGCACTCTGTCCAACACTTTTCCGTATTCGTATTATGATCAACTATTTCCAACTCCCAGAGGTCGCGGCAGCCGAGCGGGCAGCCAAGGAAGCGCTCGTGGCGGCAGGCAACCCGATCAGCCCGAACAACCGATGATAATGATGATACATTTGATGATGACTATATGGAGTTGTAATAATTAGTTTATTTGAAATTTGAATTTGAATTTTTATTAAATTATTGTTATTGTATGAATTTCTAATGATTATTGTTATATAATGTTTATTCATTATGTGATTGTATGAATTGTTTTTATATTGTTTAATTATTATAAAAAATTTAAATGAATTTTTAAATTTGAATTTTTACTAAAAAGTGCACAAAAAATATTTTTATTTTTTTTAAATATAAAAAAGTTTGTCACGGACTCTGGCCGTGACAAATCTTAAACTTTTTAAATTTTTTC